ACCTGGTTTTTTGTTTTGTTTTTTTGGGGGGGGCCACAGCTGGCAGGCTCCTGGCCTCCGCTGAGCCCGGTTGACACAAATTTCCGCAATGTCCCTCTTCCCATTTCTCTTTCCTTCTCTCCCTCGGGGACTCCTGCACTAAGCAATCCTCAAGCTGCTCTCTTCTCCCAACCATCTCCCGGGTTCCCAAACTTTCAGACGGCATGTGTTTTCAGGAAGAACACTGTATTGGGAGCAAAACCAACATAGAGTTGGCAACTTTTTATTTTGTCCAATGAGGGCTCCCAAAACACAATAGAAACCATCAAAGAAGACAGAGCCACCTTTACCCATTCCTCATTTCCTAAAGGCCATTGAGCACCCTTGAAGTAGGAAGAACATAATCCTAGAATGAAGAGTCAGCATTTGGGTGAAATAAATCCTATAGAAAGAAAAACTCAAGGCGTTCCCTCATATTGTTTCACTCGCCTTTGGTCAGTGAAAGCTTGCCACTAGTGCTTGTCCTTGGAGGAAAGTTGGGAACCATGAAGGTACAGCCTGCCATTCCCATTCTCTTCTTCTCTCTCACTATCCTTCCCTCCCTCCCTCCCTCCTTTTCTCTCTCTTCTCTCTCTCTTTCTCTTTTGCCCTCACTCTCTCTCTCTCTCCTCTCACCCTCAAATTGTGGTAAAATAAACATAACATAAAATTTAGCATCTTAACCACTTTTAAGAACACAGTTCAGTGCATCGAGCCTGACATCACCTCTTGCCTTTGACTCCCTCTGGCCCACTTCCCTGTCTGCCCTCTCCAGCCAGACCAGCATCAAGTGCAGGTCCCCAAAGCTTCTGCAAAGCCTCCCGGCCTCCCAGTCAGGCCTGGCTCCAGTCTAATGGAAGAGTTAAGATCCCCTCTTTACTCCCTAACTGTGGGCAGCCCCAGCCTCCCATCCCCTGCAAAGCAGGGCAGGATGATGCCGCTGGTCCCCGTTTGCCAGCAGTAAAATCCATTAGGGAACCCCTGGTTAGCACAAACTGCCCACCTTCAGGCCTTTTTCTGCCCTCTGCCTGTCATTCCCTGTGGCCCCCAGGCTGCAGAGGGTCCCCAGCTTCCTTCCCCTGAAGCTGCCCGGAGACAAGCATCTTTGGACCCCTGGGCCCTGCAGGGAGCTCCAGCCACCTGCCCGAGGCAAACGGGGCCTGAGAGATGGAATTGGGTCAGGTCATCCATGACCCATTTCCTCTGGAAGGGAGTTGGGTGTCAGGAAACACATTTGCCTTTGGGTTTTTAATGTAATTCAACAAAGCACAGCCAAAGCTCTTATCCTGTGCTGGGCATTGGGGGTGTGGAGTTCTGTCATTCATGACTGAGGACCTCATCGTGAGACATTAGAGGGGCTCATCTTCCAGGTGAGCAATGTGAAGATAATGATGGATGGCCCAGGGGAACGTGCTGCTGGTGGCGACTCATCTCAGAGCTGAGGGCCAGTCCCTCAGGGAAACATATGGATGCTCCACTCTGCCCATGTCCCAGGCAAGCTGATGGGCAGGGAGTTCTGCCTGCTTGCCCAGGGAACTCCATTCCCAGAGGCTACAGAGACTGCAACCTGGTAGAACCGGCCTCAAGCCCCCCTCCAGCCTGGGCTTTGGGGTCCTCATTGCCCCATGTTGTGGGTTTGGACCCACTGCAGCATGAGCAAGGGCCTTCATATCTTTAAGCCTCAGTGTTCCATCTCAAACATGCGGGTAAAACAGTATCAAGCCCTGGGGGCAGGTGTCCGTGGGGGAATTATACAAAGCGAGGCTGCAAAGTGCCACCCAAGGGGGTCACGCACCCACGAGCACCAAAGGGAGCACGTTCTTTGTCTCCCTTGTCAGTGTTCCCTCTGTCCTGCCACTACTGAGCACCTCCCAGGGTCCTGGCTTCATGTGCTGTCAGTACCTGCCCATCCCACCCACTCCCAGCTCTTCTTTTTAAACACCCTCTGGGTGCTACGTGTGCCTTTCCACATACAGAAAATGGGTTAAGAAAGGGGTGGGAGGGACAGGTAAGCAGGGATAACTAATTCATCAACCGACCCACTGGTGGCGCTCTCTCCCTCCTCCCCTCCCCTCCTGTCTCTCTCTCTCTGACACACACACACACGCACACACACACCCTGTGTTGGGCCATCAGAGTACCAGTTCTTATAAACTCTAAGACCCCTTTCATTTTGGAGACAGATGAACAAGACACACACACACACACACACACACACACGTGCCACAGCGCCACCTTTTCAAGCAGCACCTAAAGCTCTGCATGGCTGTTAAAGAGGCTAGAAACTAAAGTCATAAGAACAATCGCCTGGCTCGACTTTAAGCAAAGGAGACTGCACTTGCACGTGGAAGCACCAGTAATTGGGCTGTTACATCATATTACAAGTATATTTATAAGAAAGTACTGAAAATAGCAATTCTTTTTTAAAAAACAGTTATGCAGACAAGCAGACTTGATGGCATCATTATCAAAATTTAAAAATATAGGTAGATATCCCCATCCCCGCCCGCATGTTCCAGCTTCTCCCTCCCCAGTATGTGGTATATGTGACAGGCTGCACACATGCCCGGTGGCTGTTTTGTTCCTGTAGTTGCCGACACGCAGGGATCACACCACAGTGAGCAGGGCACCGCCTGAGGGCCGTGGCGGCCAGTTGGGCTCTGGCCTTGCTGTGTCTCACTGTGTGGCCATGGATCAGTTTCTTCCCCGTTCCGGGCCTCAGCTTTCTCACCTGTGACACAGGAGAGTAGAAACCTGGCAAGCCCCCCTGCACCACAGCTCTGACTTCTAGGACTGGACATCTGTGCATGGCTGCCTGGGCTCGCTCAGCCCCTGGTTTTCCAGTAAGATGGTCGCCTGCAGAGAACGGCCCTCTGGCTCGGTTTCCAGATATCTGGAGAAAAGTGTGCTTTCTCTTCTTCCATGAAATCACATATTTCTCCAGATATTTGGAAACCAAGCCACAGGGTTGTAGGATCTACTTTTTGAACTTTTTATCCCCTGTAGTTGCCAATTCTGCATGTACTGGTCCTGTAGAAATAAGTTAAACTGAAGCAACTTGAGGGAAGGAACTTGATGGAAGGATGGAGCGTCCACAGGGCTTGTTTTCCAGAGAAAAGTATTGTTTGGAGGAGCAGAATTATAAGCCTACAGCTTATCATAAAGCTGTTTAAAAAAAAAAAAAAAAAAAAAAAAGGCCAGGCATGGTGGCTCATGCCTGTAATCCCACACTTTGAGAGGCTGAGGCGGGCAGATCACCTGAGGTCAGGAGTTCGAGACCAGCCTGGCCAACATGGTGAAACCCCGTCTCTACTAAAAATACAAAAATTAGCTGGGTGTGGTGGCAGATGCCTGTCATCCCAGCTATTCGGGAGGCTGAGACAGGAGAATCACTTGCACCTGGGAGGCGGAGGTTGCAGTCAGCCGAGATCGCATCACTGCACTCCCGCCTGGGCAAAAAGAGCGAAACTCCATCTCAATAATAATAATAACAATAATAATAATAATAACTCAGAGCCAGGCTTGTGGATGGAAATATACTTCCCAAGTCACATTCTGCTTAAAGCTGTAACAAATACAGGCGAGTTAAAAGAAAAACAAAAGTACGCTTTCTGAGTCAGGCCCGAGGGCTCTCCTTGGCAGCACGGGTTTCCTGCCTGTGAATATCCTGGTTGCCGAGGGCCGGGGCTCCCAAGGGCAGAGCTCACGGTGAAAGGCCAACGGTCAGTGTGTGTGAGACAGTAGTGGTGCTGGGCGTCAGGCCCTCTTAGGGCCTCAGTTTCCTCTTTACTTAAAGGGCCTTTCTGGGTCTATAATACCTTATGATTCCAAAGCCAGATAGAAGTCCAAGGAAATCCCCTCTGAAGCTCCTATTTGTAGTTGAACAGACAAAATGCATTTGTAAAGAGTGGGCATTAAGTATTTTTTTTAAGGGGAAAATTTAGTGTTGATTTAGAACAAACATGATCCAGTTGCTAAGCACTTAGGAACCATCCCAGAGTTCCCTGGCAAGGAAGGGATGAGTTTCTGGCCTTGGGAACTCACGTGGAGTCACCACAGCCCCAGCTCAGGTGGTGCATGGAGCCCAGCTCGCCTACACCTGGCTGGAGAGGGCCTGGTTTTGGGTGGCCTGGGCCCTAGTCCCATATGAGAATGCACATGAGGCCTCCTTGGCTCCGTGGACCTGCTGTCTCCAGAGTCCTTTCTGGGAAGGGGAAGGAGAGCCCTTGAGACAGGCCGAACTCCAAAGCAGATTCTCTCACCTCTGTCCTGGACCCTCGATCCCTGGCCCCTGGCATGGCAGACGCTTCCCTTCTGTCCTGCAGCTTGAGCTCTCGATGATGAAAACTCAGTCCAAGAGCGACAGAGGAAATGCATCTTTCCTGGGCACTGCTAGTGGGTGCTGCTCACGGAGTGTGCCTCACCATTCTGCATGGAAATCTTAAAAATAAAGCCTGTCTTCTTCCCTTTCTCCCTGAATGAAACACACAGCACAGGATCTCACCGTTTCACGGGGGCTCGGTGTCATCACCAGGGACAGTCCTCATAGGTCTGTGTGATCAGAAGCCGCTGAGAGCTGGGGTTAGGGCTCCCGCACGCGATGCCTCCACGCGGCTGTACTTTCTTAGTTCAGGGATCTGCTCTCTGCAGCTCTTCTTTTTCTCCCTTGATATCGCTCTGTCACTTGTCACTGCTATCACTGTACCTGCCTCTGGTCATTGCCATTTCTAGTTCTCGTACGTGGCAGCTACTCTCTGTGGTTGTTAAAACTAGACAAGCATACTTGTTCTCATTATGCATAAAGCCAGAGTCGCTGGGCGCCGAGTGAGGGTCTGTGCCGCTCTTCCGCGTTGCAGCTCAGAGGCCTTTCATTACATCCGAGTTCTGGGATTGGCTTTGGAGAAGAGGTTGCCATGAAAGTGACAGGTTATTGTTCTTGCTTTCTAGAGTTGACTGCAGACCAAGTCAACAATACCACAAAATCCCATTGGAGGGAGACACTGCTAGGAATCTTCCCAACTCCAGATAGACCTCATATATGAAACAATACATACTGAGCATTTACATACAGATCATATAAAAATTCTAGACATTGTTCCCTAGTCACATGTAGTACACATTTGGTATAAATAGACTAAGACAACACTGTATAAAAAGTAAGTCTGTTCTGGGAATGCTGACACAGCACTGATATGGATGCAGCTCTGCAGTCTTTGGCCTGCCCCTGTTTCCAGTTTCCCTGGCGGGCATCCTCAGGAGGGGCCCTGGGACTGCTGGAGGTTGGAGAACAAAGTCACCTGTGTGCCCCAGCGGGTTAGGTGGGTGGCGGGCCATTGTAGCGCAGCATGAGCGTGAAGGAGCGGGCGAAGTTGTTGGCCAGGGTGCAGCTGCGGTCCTCTTCCCTGATGGGGAGCAGGAACAGCAGGAGGAGGAACAGCAGCAGAAGCAGCTGCAGTGGGAGCGCCACACAGCACACCCTCCGGAAGAGGGAGCCCAGTCCTCGCCACCGCCGAGTCTGCGGAACCAACACAGCACAGGTGAGTGGGCTGGGGGACTCTGGGGGTGGGGGGCAGGTTCAGGGGGCGAGGAGGATGCCAGGAGCGGCGATGGCACTGAACTGACTGTATGACAGTACATGTCTCCGTGTTCTCATCGGTGAAATGGGGCTAATGTAAGTTTTGCCAGAAACAAAGGTTTCTGCAGTTTTCCCAAAGCATTCAAGGCATGAAAGGAAGAACAGAAAATACAGTTGCAGGCTCTGCCATTGTGACATACATCTTTGCTTGCCTGGTGTAGCAGAGGGCTGGCTATGAATCCTAAGGTCACCTGACTTCTCTGAACCTCAAGTTTCTCGTCTACAGATAGAGGCAATAATGGTACCTACACGACAGAGTTGTCATGAGGATCCAATGAGGCAGAGCCTGGCACATAGTAGGTATGTACCAGCTGCTGTCATTATTAGTACACATCCTTAATATTGTCACCATCTAAATCATCGTCATCACCATCATCACCACCATCAAGTTCACCATCATCACTTTCTTCCTCCTGTCTTTCTTCCCTGTTTCCTCTTTCTCCTTCCCCTCTTCCTTTTCTTTTCTTTTTTTCTTTTTCTTTTTTTCTTTTTTTGAGGTGAAGTCTCACTCTGTCACCCAGGCTGGAGTTCAGTGGCGTGATCTCAGCTCACTGCAACCTCCACCTCCCAGGTTCAAGCAGTTCTCTCCCTCAGCCTCCCAGGTAGCTGGGATTACAGGCGCCTGCCACTACACCCAACTATTTTTTTTTTTTTGTATTTTTAGTAGAGATGGGGTTTCACAATGTTGGCTATGCTGGTCTTGAATGCTGACCTCATGATCCACCCTCCTCAGCCTCCCAAAGTGCTGGGATTATAGGTGTGAGCCACCGTGCCCAGACCCTCTCTTCCTTTTCCTCCCTCTCCCCTTCCCTCTTCTCCCCTTCTTCCTCCTCCTCCTTTTATTTCATCATCAATTTCATCACCATCACCATCGCCATCAGTATCACATAAAGGTCAGTCTCACAAGTCCAAATGCCTAATGGACTTCTCTGCTACAATATCCCTGAAAGTGGTCAAGAAAATATTTTCTAAATTCTGGAGGGACTGGCGGGGTTTTGGCTTCATGGATGTCTGACTGCCAAGGAGTGCAGGGAAAGAGCTGGTCACTCAGAAAAGTGAGGCCCTCATGGTCAAGATGCTGCAGAGTGCAGGATGAGCCCAGCTTTTAGGATCCTAGCAGACCAGGTCCCCACCCAGACTCTGTTACTCAACAGCTATGTGTCCTTGGGCAAATCAATACTGGATCTTCTGTTTCCTGCTCTGCAAAATGGGGATCAAATACCTACCCCTATTTGCTGGGCTGTGGTGAGGGCTCAAAGCAAAAGTATATTTATGCCTCGATTGATAAATGTACCAGTTCTTACTATTAGTACTATTAGTAATTATTTATAATAATCGTGCTAGCAATTAGTAACTGTTAGTAACATTCATTACTATTAATATTAGTAATCATAGCACTAGTACTATTATCATAGAATATATGTGCTGGCTCCCTGAAGAACCGAGGTTCACCCTCCAGGACACCAAAAGCCACAGTCCCGTGATGATGATAGTGATCGTGACCATGGTGATGGAGGTGAGGGCAATGATGACAGTGATGCTTGATGATGGTGGTGATGGTGATAATGATCATGATGCTAATGGTGGTGGGGTGGGGGTGGGGTGGTGACAGTAAGGTGGTGACGATGGTGATAATGACCATGGTAATGGTGAAAATGGTGATGATCATGGTGATGGTGATGGGGATGGTGGTGACTGTGATGGTGATTGTAAGTGTGAGTGATAGTGATGATAGTGATGGTGATGATGGTGATGGTAATGATGAGAGTGATGGTGGCGGTGGTCATGATGGTGAGGGTGACGGTGGTAAGGATGATGGTGATGGTGATGGTGGTGGTGATGGTGATAGTGATGATGATGGAGGTAGAGATGGTGGTGGTGGTGATGGTGAGGATAATGGTGGTAAGGATGATGGTGATGGTGATAGTGATGATGATGGAGGTAGAGATGGTGGTGGTGGCGATGGTGAGGATAATGGTGGTAAGGATGATGGTGATGGTGATAGTGATGATGATGGAGGTAGAGTGGTGGTGGTGGCGATGGTGAGGATAATGGTGGTAAGGATGATGGTGATGGTGATAGTGATGATGATGGAGGTAGCGATGTGGTGGTGGCGATGGTGAGGATAATGGTGGTAAGGATGATGGTGATGGTGATAGTGATGATGATGGAGGTAGAGATGGTGGTGGTGGTGATGGTGAGGGTAATGGTGGTAAGGATGATGGTGATGGTGATGGTGATGATGATGGAGGTAGAGATGGTGGTGGTGGTGATGGTGAGGGTAATGGTGGTGAGAATGATGGTGTTGGTGATGGTGGTGGTGATGGTGATAGTGATGATGATGGAGATACAGATGGTGGTGGTGGTGATAGTGATGATGATGAAGATACAGATGGTGGTGGTGATAATGGTGAGGGTAATGGTGGTAAGATTGATGGTGTTGGTGATGGTGATGGTGATAGTAATGATGATGATGGAGGTAGAGATGGTGGTGGTAGTGATGGTGACGGTAATGGTGGTAAGGATGATGGTGATGGTGATGGTGGTGGTGATGGTGATAGTTGTGATGGTGATAGAGGTGAAGACGGTGGTGGTGGTGAAGGTGAGGGCAATGGTGTTAAGGGTGATGGCAATGGTGGTGGTGATGGCAGTAGTGGTGGTAGTGACGGTGACGATGGTGATGAAGAAGCACTGTTAAATGCAAATGTTCCTGGGAGGTTCTAACCTGGGCAGTTCTGTCTCTCTACCTCTCCTCTCTGAGTCAACTCATGTATTCCCCTGCTCCAAGTATCTCCTCCAGATGATAACACTTAACCCTGTGCCTGCAGCCTCAAATATGTTCACTCACCAAAGTCCTTAAACACTGATTTTATGAAACAGGCTGCTTATAACAATGAATAAGTACTCTTGGCTGCATGTATTTCAGCGGTGACTTTGGGAGCGGAGGGTAGGGGGTGACACATTGTTTAATGAGTGTGAGTTCACAGAGACGGTGGCTCTTCCCACAACTGCTGGGCTGGGTGGAGCCAAATCTCTGACACATGTGACCCATCCAGGGAGAGGGAAAAGAGGTAAAAGACAATGAGCTGCAGGGCCACCCGGTGTGGGTTTTCACTGCAACTAACAGCCTGTAATTAAGGATCTCCCAAATGGAGGGTCTGCTTACAAGTGTCCTTTTTTATTTGCCCCTCCATTCTCAGAGCTAACACTTTGCTTCTTCAAGAGAGGGGTTATGCCTTGGCCGTGATCCTCTGGGAAAAACATCTTTGAAGGTCCAAAAAGTGTTTACATATACAAGTGTTGACAAGGGGTGGTCTTCTCAAAGGATTCCTGCAGCCTGCCCAGTGCCTGTTTACTTAGAGCTCACATCCTCACTTAAAGGTCCCTGGATTCCAAAATGCTCTTTAAAAAAGACATCTTTCAATATGTTTCTAAATGCTTAGAAACACACACACACACACGTCCATACAAACACAGACACACACACATATACAACCCTCTAAGAAGCCAACAAGAAAAATGACAATCTTGGCTTTTCCAAAGAGAGAAAGGGCTTCCTCAGGAAGTTATAAGCTCCCCATCGGATATGGTTTGGCTGTGTCCCCACCCAAATCTCATCTTCAATTATAGTTCCCATAATTCCCATGTGTTGTGGGAAGGACCCAGTAGGAGATAATTGAATCACAGGGGCAGTTTCCCCCATACTGTTCTCGTGGTAGTGAATAAGTCTCACAAGATCTGATGGTTTTATAAGGGATTTCCCCTTTCACTTGGCTCCCATTCTCTCTTGTCTGCTGCCATGTAAGACATGCCTTTCTTCTGCCATAATTGTGAGGCCTCCCCAGCCACGTGGAACTGTGAGTTCATTAAACCTCCTTTTCTTTATGAATTACCCAGTCTCGGGTATGTCTTTATCAACAGCATGAAAACGGACTAATACACCATCCCTGAGGGTAGGGAAGCAGGGGTCGATGAGCCCATGGAGGTGGTGGGGATGGAGTAGAGGAGTTAACATACTCATCAGAGGCTCTGACCAAGAGTCCTCCAAGGTCTTACATGATGATCCTGAGACTCCAGATTTCTGAGGATCGCAGGCTAGAGTTCATCACAGTCCATGAGACCTAATCTTCTACCACTGGTGAAATGGGATGTGGGGAAAATAAAAGGTTTGGAGTCTTGGGTTCTAACCCTGACTCTACCACTTTCTAGCTGTGTGATCTAGGGCATGTTGCTTAGCCTCTCAGAGCCTCAGTTTCTTCTCTGTTGGGAGACAGTGACACTTGCCTACCAATGTAGGAAGGATAAATGAAGCAATGCATGCTATGCATAAAAGGCACAGTAGGCACCCAACAAAGGCTCACTTCCTTTCTCCTCTGGCTGATGGGTGTGGGCAGAGAGGCAGCTCCTGCAAGTCCCACAAGCTTCCCCTCCACCAGGGATGCAGGGATTAGGCACCATCATCACCTTCAGTCCCATCAGGGAAGAAAGCACTGCCCTCCTTAAATGCCATCTCTCAGCTCCTTAAAGACCCTCATGCCTTATTGCCGCAGGGCCTTTGCACGGGCTGTCCCTTGTGTCTGGAATGCTCATTGCCCTTCTTTCTCCACTCCACCTGGTTAGTGCTGACTGACCATTGTAATCTCACCCTGAGTCACTTCCTCCAGGAGACCTTCCCTGGCCTTACACATCCTCAGGGCACCCTTTCCTCTGGATCACTGATTAAGATCTGTGCTGCCCTTAACTCCTCGGAGGCGGGGTCCACATTAGTCTTGTACTTTACTGTATCCTCAGCAGTGCTCAGTAAATATTTGCTGAATGAATGAAACCATGAATATAAGGCTCCTTCCCTCCCTGCACCTCTGGCCATTCGCTTCTCCCTC